ATGTTTCAATCGCACTGCACGTGCGCGCCTGCACGTGGTATTTTGTGGAAGAGCCACACATATTTTCAAAAATGTTTTGTAAATGATGAAGCATAAATCAGAGGCAATGTCTTTTCATCAGAAATCACCTCATTTATTTTGTGTTGAGAGGAAAATTTAACGTTTAATATTGCTGATGCAGGAGGAAAAAAAAAAGGGACTTAGAGAACCATCAGTGAAACAATTCAAAGAAATTATAATGTTATATCATAATCAGCAACTGTGTGTACCTCTGTGGAGGAGACTTCAAGTTCTTTGGGTCCATGATAAATCCCACAGAACTAGCTCTGTGACTCCAACCTCAGCCTCACTCTCATGCCTAATTAACAATGGAAGCTTTCTTTCCAGCTATAACTACTCAGCTATTTTGTATCAAGCTTCTACCCTGCTCAGAATCCTGGCTGTCCCCAATTTGGTTGGACCCCAGGGACAATCCTCAAAAGAATCCTGAGACTTTTACTCAACTCTTAGCAGCTCCTACAACACCACCCACCAGTAGTACCTTTAGACCCCCCCGCCCCCCCGCACCCCCAACCTACCCTAAGTGTGGGTTGCAGGTCTGCAGTGTCCCTAATCACCTGGGAGTTTGTTAGAAATGCAAATGTTTGACCTTTCCCACTCCATTGGCATTTGCATGTTCACAAGATCCTAGGATGCTGTGTGCACACAAAAGGCTGAGAAGCTCTGGTCTAGCTTAAACTGGACCGGAGGGCCAGAACAAAAGCATGGATGGAGTGTTTGTGTGAACTAATATAAATTCAAAGTAAACATCATTACATAAAAGGGTACGGTCTTTTTTTTCAATAGTTTTATTCATTTCAAACGGGCCAAATCCTGCCCGAGGGCCGTAGTTTGCCCACGGCTGGGCTAGGGGGATGGTCCCTCACCTTTGGTGAGCATCAGAATCACCAGCTGCTGGGCCTGATCTGGGGCCACACTGAGAACCACCCTCTGGGCTTCAGGCAGTGGTTCTGAACCTTGGCTGCACATTAGAATCCCCCGGGAATCCCGGGTGAGGCCCAGAAATCAGGATTTTAAAAAGATTCCCAGGTGATTCTAATGTGCAGCCAAAGTTGAGAACCACTGAGCTAGAGGATTAACAGAGATGCGGCAGATCCTTTCCCATTTACTGAGTGAGGGAGGATTCCTACACCTTCCAACTCAGCCTGAGATGAGAATACAGGAAAGCTGGCACTCTTGGAGCCTGCCGCCATGGCCTCTCCCCTTTGGGTTGTTTTAATACTGCCTCCTGTTTAAACAGAGCTGGGGACGAGAGGTTCTAGGGCCTCTGTACCAACGCCAGAGTAAATGTATGGCAGAGGCTCTTTCCGGGAATGTGTTCTGCCCACCTTTAAAGCAAACAGAGCCTGGGGCGCTGCAGCCCAGAGCTGTGGGGATGGGAGGTCGCTAGCTGAGAGCAGGACCGGGCAGGTTGGGGACCCCGCACCAGCCCTTTCACGGAGTGCTCTTTATAAAGGCCCTTGGAGTCTGTGGCTTTCTGTCCCGAGTCCTCCTTGGGAATGCTCAGAGCTCTGGAGTCCACTGGTGCCCTGCAGGGCACAGCAGCCAGGCACCCAGGGCGGACGCACACTAAGGAGCACACCGAGGCCAAACCAGACCCAGGACTGCTCGCTCACTCACAACCCGCACCCTGTGCATTCTGCTGCCTCTCTGTGATGAAGATTCACCTAAATGCATAGGCAGGAAACCTCAGGCGAGCAAAATTACCTTCACATAGAGACATTTTACCGAAGGAGGACACAGAAGCCATTCTGAATAGTAGAGATGAGTGTTGGCCGGCAAGAGTTTGGTCAGCTCTAACCCAGTTTCCCACTGGATGGGAGGAGGCGAACTGTTTCGAGTTTGTGAGACCCAGATTGTGTCTCACAAACTATAAATTTACCCCACAGATAAGCTTCAAGGAGAAACAGTAACTGCCATAGAGGGCTTGTTATGTGCCAGGGTCCATGCTAAATGTGTACAGGTATCACTTTAATCCTGGCTATGCTGTTGACATCAGTTACCCTCACTTTACAGATGTGGAAACGGGGGAACAGAGTCCTTACATGTTTTGTCCAAGGATACAAACCTGTGCTCCTGACCGTAGGCCACATGTGGCAGGTTCCAGAACAGCAGCTCGGTGCGGTGGGGAAAGAGGCA